AAACATCCATTCCATCATAGAATTTGCATTGATACTTGATCTTCGATGTTAAACAATATACTGTATAAAAACAACATTAACAATTTTATTTTTGGTTTTTGTATGCTTTTATTAATAATACCTGATGGCAGAATGAAAACAAATGCTGAATGAGAAAAATTGTGTGGCAACAGTTGAATATATGGAGACAAAAATATACCATTTAGAACACGTTCATCGTCTTTAAAAACCAGTTTTCTTGTCCGATGCAGAGCACGAAATGTTGCAAGTACCTACAAAAACAATACACAAGAGAAAAATTTAAAACACAAAATAAAATTTGAAATTATAACCAAAATAACCATTAATTGCCTTTAATAGGCCCAAAAAAGCCTAGGCCTAGGCTAAAACAGGGCCAAGTCCTACAACAACACAGAAAGCTATCCTGGTCGGCAGGCCCTCTTCCATGCCATGCTGTCTGGGCTGGACCGCTTCCTAAATATCCATTCCAGGCCTAGGCCATAGCCTAGGGCCTAGGCTAGGCCTAGAGAGTAGAGAGAGACCTAGGTAGTATAATACTAGTTAGTGTAGCGCCTAAACTTTAGTATTATTATGAATCGTCCGTTAAGTCCTTTGAATCATACCTTTTCTCTCATATTTGTAATTATGTGTGTGTTTTAATTATTCAATCGGAAAAATGCACTCCCTGCAGATTTGTTATTTTCTGGCTTCTCTCTGGTAAAGCGATGGTGGGCGACACTACTGCATGTCATGAATAATTAAGTAGCAATATAAATTGAATATTCATTTAACCTAGCCCTGCGTGTATGTTATTGTCGATAAGGTCCAGTGAACACACACTTCTCTGTCCTAGCCTACACACGAACTTTTTTTTTTTGCTTGTGTAAAGTAACAAAGTGAAATTATATAGGCCAAGCCTAGGCCTAGTATTCTTTGTATGTACTGTACCTTGTAAGTAGTACAAAAGAATATAAACAGGAGTTACCACCAGCGGCAGTAGGCCTAATAAACAATGGCCTATGTAGCCGCGCCAGGCCCATGTTATGTTTAAAATAAAATTTTAAATATAACAACACCTGCAGTAGCGGTGCCCATCTAAAGATTAAATGTATAAAATATAACAACACCTGCAGTAGTGGTGCCCGTAATGCAATAGCGGTGCCCATCTAAGGATTAATATATAAAATATAACAACACCTGCAATAGCGGTGCCCATCTAAGGATTTAATATATAATAACAACACCTGCAGTAGTGGTGCCCATCTAAGGATTAATGTATAACATATAACAACACCTGCAGTAGCAGTGCCCATAATGCAGTAGCGGTGCCCATCTAAGGATTTAATATGTAATAACAACACCTGCAGTAGTGGTGCCCATAATGCATTAGCGTTGCCCATCTAAGGATTAATGTATAACATATAACAACACCTGCAGTAGCAGTGCCCATAATTCAGTAGCAGTGCCCATCTAACTCCCTCTCTCTCTCTCTCTCTCTCTCTCTCTCTCCCTCTCCCTCCCTAACTCCTTCTCTCTCTATCAGATTTAATCCACTATCTAGGGTCGATAGCGAAACTACAAATTGGTTATACACACGGGGATATATGCTGCATATTTTTCTGTATATTTTAGTACTGTACGTTTGATTCTGTTATCATCATATATCATAATTGTTCATGTTTTCTTTTTCGTCGTCATCACTACCTTATATTATTATTATTATTATTATTATTATTATTATTATTATTATTATTATTATTATTATTGTTATTATTATTATTATTATTATTATTATTATTGTTATTATTATTATTATTATTATTATTATTATTATTATTATTATTATTATTATTAGGCCTATTTCTTCTTGTTGTAGGCCTGTTTTTGTTGTTAGCCTACCTAAATGCTTAGGAAGGTCTCTGATTTTATTAGATTATACTGGAGAAGCTGAAAGGGCCCCTTCTATATTTAGTATGAGATGCCAAGTTTGTCAACTGCAGGAGTGAGAACAATCAAACAATCGAGGGAGCGAAGCGATCGAGGGCGGGGAAGTGGTGGATGTGGGAGAGGATTTCTTTTTTGGGCTTTAAATTGTGCAATTTGGGGCATACATATAATACAATATTTACTTGCAGAAATCATATAGAAGAGTACTACAAACTCCGAGAAATGAGATACATTGAATTGTGTTTTGATTCAATATTTCGACATTTATATTTCATCTTCAGGAATAAATAAAATTGTTAAGCAACGGGGAATAGTTAACCTTACTCCTGTGAAGTTGATGAGTGGGCTCTGTTGTAAGCCCAGGTGGCCTTTTTTGCAGATTTTAATGAGATAGCTCCCTGTCTTTCTTTTCTTTATTTTTTTTATTTTTTTTTTTTTTGGCCTCATCGACGACCGGCGTGAGAAAATGATTGTTGAGCAGGTGCGTGAGAAGGGTCGCTGAGGCGTTATTCTCATGCACGGCGTGAGACTTGGTAGGTCTGAGTATTTTATTTAAAATTTTAAAAATAAAAAAATAAAAATATATACCGTAATATTGCTTTATTCTCTTTAATACATGTTCAAACCAAATCGAAAAATAAAAGCCATGTAGAATAGGCCTAATTATAAACTGTAATTCGTTTCAAAAACTCTTTGTGTAGTGTGTATAATTTGCCATTCATAGCGCATATGTTTCAAGGTCTCATCATTCAAATTCAAATATTCAAATTCATTGTTATTGCATTCACTTAGCATAAATGATTGATAATACAGTACAAAATCAGTACTGAAAATTAAATTAATTAAAGTACACATTCAAAAAATGAATGATAAAAACAAGAAAAGAAAACATCAAAATGATCAAGAAAATATTTATGCGGCTTACATCTTAAGAGGGTTAATTAAATGGTTTTTTTATTAAATGACAAAAAAATTACTGGCTTAGGTGCGGCGGGAAATAAGGAGTGATAGCACTTATTGCAAAGAGTATAAAACTGCAACAAGAGGTCCGACTGCCCTTATTTTGTATACAGGCAATGGAACGTTAAAGGTACTCCCACGAAGGGGCGTGTCCTTCATAAGAACGTAAAAGGTGTTCGTATCGAACGCGTGCTGCGTTTCCAGCATACATTCTATGGACGCGCAGAACGCGTTCGATATGAACGCACTTTACGTTCTTTTAAAGGCCACGCCCCTTTTGGGTAGTACTTTTTGAAATAGGATTACGTTCCAAATAATCCCCGGCAGTCGAACCTACTGAAGTTTTATACTCTTTGCTTACTGGTTCGATGAGCATGACGCGGGCGGCGTCGTTCAGCACAATCCCTCCGAGAAGGGTCAAGTGCGCAGCCCCAGAAAATGCAACAATTCAGGGGTCTGATGCACTGCCTGCCAAAACAATCGCAAAATACCTTAAAAAATTCAAATAAAATTTTGACTGATTATTAACTTTATTAACTTCCAATAGAAACCCAGATCAAAAAAATATATATAGCTTTCGCTGGTTTACAGATGATTTTCTATAAAAAATCCTCAATATAATTAGGCCCATACCATCCAATTTTAGGGGTGTGCAAAAAAAGAATACAGTAAAGTAAAGGTATTATTTAACTATCTGTTACTTGACCGGGGATTTTTTTTTATTCAATTGTAACTTATAAATAAGTTACCTAATTACTTAGGCCTACTTAAATATAAAAATTATTCAAATATGGTCATGACTGTGCTTCTTTAATCGTTAGAATCGACTTTTAAAATGACAGAATTTTCTTCTGCCTTTTTACATTAATTTGATCCTCATCCCCCGTTCACACACTGCGGTTTCTGTTTTGATCCGAACGTGCAAATAGCTAGCTAATTCAACTCAGATTTGGTCTGTACCAACGGAGTCTATCAAAAAGACAGTAGAGCTTGTTTGATTGGTCCATCTGTTGAAGCAGAAGACCATCGCTAGGTACCTGTAAACAATCTTCTGAGCAGTTGATCGTTCGTGCTGCAGAGGGGTGGTTTTCAGCTAATTATTACATTAATTATGAACTGCAAGTATAGCCTATGATCAGTATAATAATATACATATATTATTTATTTCTTGTGAACGAGCAATAAAATTCACAACCGAGACAAGGCTTCTCGAACCTTCGTTGAGCCTAGCCTAAGCTGACTAACTTTCCAAACAAACCCCGACCCCGGCGATGCGCTAGCGACGTCCGACTAGGCCTAGTCTAGAACGTTCACCTAAAGCCTTGGCCAAAGGCTCGACCTAGGCCTAGTGACAAAAACTAGCCAAACACACGTTGCTGTATTACATTTTGTATTCTTTATTCATGCGTATAGAAACAAAGATGCCTATAACCAAAGTTCCCATCGTCCATAAATTTGGGATTATATCCCATAGTCAAAGAGAAGAGTTACAAGAAAGATTAATGAAACAGAAATTCTTAGGAGCTCAGAAAAGTAGTCGAGAAATTCCCACTACAAGGTTTGTTTAGAAAGGATAATCCTTATTTGTCATAAATTTAAACAACAGGTTATATTCTGTTCTGAATATCCTGGACTGATGGTTAAAAAGTTGTTAAATTTTTAATGATCCCAAGACACAAATATTAATATTGATAATTTGCAAATCAAATTTATTTTAAGGGCTACTGACTCTATGAAAATAGAGATAATTTATGCATCTGTTGGTTTGAATAATATTTTCTTACTCTAATTTTCAATTGAATGTTAATTACTTAAATAATAATTAGCAATTTAAATGAATGAATAAAAAATGGATTTTTGTATTAGGCTCAATATGGAGAGTAGCAGACTTTATATCTTGAATATTAAAAAACAGTTTTTATTGCCTGTACACTTACTTATGCAATATTATTTGAATTTATCATTATTGTTATGTTGAGGAGGATACCAAATGTGGCAAAGACAAGCCAAACCAGTCACTCGTCGCAAAAATCAATTTTGAGTTATTAATACAGTGTTAGAGAGTAAAATAATAGCTATAAAATGGTAAAAAATCATTCAAATTGGACATTTCCTTATGAAGTTACAAGCATTTAGTCACACAGCTGTTTAAAGAACAATATATGAGAAATCAGCCTTCAAAGTTTATGATTTCATGCATTTCTCATGCAGAAACTATCTTTAAATCCTTAAAAATTGTTGTTTTAACATTGAAAATGGGGAAATAACAGTATAAAATGATATATAGATATATAAATGTTAGTTTAGTGCAATAAAATAGATTTTTAAAAGTTTGACATTCCAGCATGTTTTAGCCATTTTCTCTGTAACACGATTTGCGAAGAGTGACTGGTTTGGCTTGTCTTTGCCACAAGTAAAGATCTGCCTCACTGGATGGACCACCCTCATAAGCAGACATTTAATCACATTATTAAAACTAAATTTGTGATTTATACTGTTAATTAATTTTAAAAGTAGTGGCAAAAAACAACAAACACTGAGTTCCTTCTATTGGTCACTCCTCTATGAGGGAAAAAAACTCTTCATTTATCTTATCACATTCTATGGTTTAAAAGTTTTGTTTTTTTTTTAAATTGTGATTTTATTTGAAGGAATCCATTAGAACTAACAGAGGAATTCATTCATAAATTCAATGCTGCAACTGACTTTGAGGCTAAGGAAGAATTGGAAGAAGTTGCATTCAAGATTTTAGCAAGGGCAAAGGTGACTGAAATTATAACTATACATTATATAAGTTTTTAGATGATACTTTGTTTTATTAAAATTCCATACAAAAATGTTATTGCATTATTATACAAAATTACAGACAAATTTATCTGGGTACAGATACAATCTGCACTGCACCCCACATATCTCATTGTAAATGCAAATGCGATGTATTTATATCTCTTTTTATCATAATTTACTACTTATATCCATATTTAATTTAATAATTGTTGTTTTAATATATATTTTTAGAAATATTGATTGACATGTGTTCATTATTTACAGCGGAGGGTTGGTTTAAAAGATGCAAGTAAAGGCAGCCATGTTGATCTACCTAAGGCCTGGTCAGAACTCTCAGTATTGGCTCAATGCCGTGGCAAAGTCCAAGAAGGTTCAGAGTTACAAAAAAATTAATTGTTTGAAAATTATCATCTTTATCATATTTGACATTATCAGTATATTTGTATCATCAACATCAACTTTGTTATTACCATCACAATTATTATCTTTATCATGATTATCATGAGCATCAGCCTACCATATAGTTCATTAACTTTCTCACCAGCTTCATTGTCACCATTAATCATTATCATAATTATCACCATCATTTTTCTTCTCATCTTCATCACCAGCAACATAACCATTTTCATTATCGCCATATTTATCAACCACTTCCTCTCCTGATCATCATTGTTATCATTGTCATACAGTATTTATCTTTCCCTCATCATTATCATCATAATAATCATTTTCCACCTCTTCTTCAACATCATTGTATTAATCAGTGTCATTGTATTAGCTCTCACTGAAGAGTAGAAAATAAAATTTGAAAATAAATATTAAGTAATATTTCATAATCTCAAAATACAAACATTTATGTTGTACCTGCAGTGTGTTTCATTATCTCTGTGTTGCTTTCCACAGAGTGTCTGGACGTGATGATCATATCTCTGAATCAAGCACCCCTGTCACCCAATAACATCAACTGTTTATTTTACCTCGGTGAAACCACACTCTACTGGCTACGCACAGATGCTATGAATCAACCATTTCTCAGGATAGGGGAGATCAAGTTATTAAAGGTGAATTATTGAAAATTTATAGCTCAAAGGTCGTGCCTGATCAATCAATCAATCAAAATTTTATTTGTCCATTAACCCTTTCACCACTGCAGGTAATTAATACACCCCCTGTGCCGGGCCCTTTTTTAAGGAAAAAAATAAAGGTGATTTTGAAATAAATTCCAAAAAATACTAAAAGAGATTATTTTGAAATTTGTTTTGCATGTTGGGGTGGACAAAGACCTTGGCCTATGGGGTGAAAATTGAAATTTGGTATTTATAATTAGGTGGTCATGTGACTTCTTGGCAGCCATATTGAATTTTCTTTCATAAATTCTGTGAACTGCTTGACTGCAAAAAACTCACCTGCATCATCGTCATTTTTAAAATATTATTTTCAAGTACCCAGTACTACCAGGGACGCGCAATTCAACAACATCTTATTCTACCCGGTACTACCGGGTATGCGCAGTGGAAGGGTTAAACACAAGTAAAATGGAAATTCTTTTTCCACTGGCAAAAAACATGAAACACTAAAAAATACTGAAAAAGCAGCATTTAAATATCATTGTAAAAAAATTAAAAACACCAAAACAACCATGAAAAATTTATATGATGATGAATGTAAAAAAAAAAAGGTGGAATAGGAATGTGCAGCTACATCTAAACATTTCTAAATATATCTAAACATTTCTAAACACATCTAAACATTTCTAAACATCTCTAAACATGTCTGCACATTTATAAACTCATTAAAACATTTCAGATGCATCTTAGGATTTCTAAACACGTCCTAATTTTTTCTAAACAAATTTATTTTTTTGTTTCTTTACAGATGGGTCAACTTGTGTTTACTAGACTATTCTTCCATCATATGGCAGGTCATCTCCATGGCTACAAAGAATGCAAAGATAGATTAATTACATATTTAGAAGGTAAGATACAACATTTTTTACTATTAATACCTCTATTTCCATTTATTTTCTATTCTTTAATTAGAAAATTTTAAATGAAGCAAAGAAAAATGGAAAGAGGAATACATTTTGTTTTGCTTTTTGTGCCTATGCAACCCATATATTTTCTTATACTTGTTATGACAATTGTAGAGATATCTACATACTTGTTATAATTATTACTGCATTCTTATCTTTGCCACTGTTTTTCTAAAAATATACAGTCTTTTGTGAATAATCATTTTAGCCCAAATGTTTATGACAACCAAATATGAAGCAAAGCAACAATAATAATTATAAATAAATTTGAATACTAATCTACTTCACATAGCACTATATTTTTTTTGTCACTAAGCTGGGGTGGATGCAGAGGGGGTGTAGACAGTGCGATTGCACCCCCTAAATTGTATTAAGAAAAATAATTGTATTATATTGTTGATATGAATAATACCGGTAAGGTTTTTAAGGTATGAGAGTGCAATTTTCGGGCATCTAGAGGTCCACATTCTCAACATTTTCTCACCTCAGCCCCAACCACGGTGGGGCAACCTCAGCCCCAACCATGGTGGGGCTAACCTCAGCCCCAACCATGGTGGGGCTAACCTCAGCCCCAACCATGGTGGGGTTGAGGTGGTCTGGGCTCTCACGCACCCCCTACTGCCAAACCCTGCATCCGCCCCAGTTTTTTTAGCATTCTACAATAATTTTAAAGAATAAATATACACTCAGCAGTAAGTTTAAGATTAAACCTTCTTTACTGATAGCCATCCAACTGATACCTTTATCACAGTGTTTTTATTTTCTTTTCTTTGGCTTAGCCTTGATTAGGGGTAAGTAAACACCTGTAAATTGATAACTGCTCACGTAGTTAAATTATTCTGCTTGTAATTAGTGTATATCATTTACATTCTGTTTTTCTTATCTTGTTATTTTTGTTGTCATTTCCCCTTTTTCTGGTCATCTTGCACTTTTCCTGGTCATCTTGCCATTTTCACAATTCAATTTAGAATCAAGCTATAATGTATTTTTTGTATAGAGTCGTATGTTTGTGTGTATGTGCTGTATGTATTGCATATGTATGCAAGATTTTACCTCTCTCCAATTAGCATCACTCTCCAATAAGCACATCACCAAGCATGATTTTTTTTTGGTAAAATGCCTCTCTTGAATATGTGCTGCAGCACTAATTACAGATATTCTATTGTGAATATAGGCACTTGGGTGATTAATCTAAAGTATTACATAATGTGCCTTGATATTTTAATCATCAACGACACTGTTAACCAACTGATTTGTTGAGGGCCCCTTTGAGTCAGCTTTTTATTTAGCTGTAAGGGCTACCCTCATTAAACAAAGTTCAATAAATGAATAAAATAAATATAAATTTATCGCTGGAGCAAACTTGATAGATCTATATACAATGTCTGGTATCAACAAGATAAAATAGAACATCAATTTATAAAAAAGCATAGTTCTCTAAATAGTGCCTCAAATAATGCTGCACTTAAGCCTCAAAAACCTTTACAGTATAACCACCATAGCCATTATTTGATCATCTCATCATATTTTTGGTACCTTGATACATTCACAAACTCTTTGGTGTTGGTAATTAAATGGTAGTGCAAAGAAATAATGCATCGCACTAACTGGTGGTAACAGTTATAGATATGCGTTACTATGTTCTGTAGTGTAATTTTTTAATTTTTGTATCATCAACTAATCAATCATTCAATCAATCGATTTACAAGGCACCACTCCAAGACAGTATTGCTTGTGGCACTGTCATATTAGGCATCACCATCTGTCTGTAGTCCTTTGTGACTCAATAAGTAATTTATAAATTCCAACAATTAGCTCTGTTTAATCTAAATTATGCTGACTAAAAGCCTGATTTCCATGAAATTGCTACACCATAAAATTGTTACACTCTCGCTACATAGTGTTTTCATTTCCATCATTACACTGCATAGCTGTCACTGATAGAATCATAAAATGCCCCCTTTTTCAACCAACCAGTCAGCATCACCATAACCTGTGGTAACAGCTTGTAGCTATTTTATGGAAACCAGGCTTAAAGCGTATACATATCACATTTGTTTGGTCATTATGACATCACCTCATGACCATATATAGGTACATCATGACTATATATGGGCATGCAAGTGTCAGATCAAACATTGAATGTTAAGTCTGAAGGACAACAGTCTGATAATGGTGCTAGGGTTTGGGAAGTAGATTTGGTAAGAAATTGGTGTAAAGGATTTGAACACAAGACTTCAGGTTGAATGCTGAGTGCAGATCCAAGGCTCCACTCTTATAAATATTTTCTTTTTATCACTTGTAACCACAGTTCATTAAGATATATAATTCTTGTTTATTATAGGCTTTACACAATGTGAGGAAGCTTACAGCCCCTACCCAAGTGCGCATCTTGCCTTGCAGTATATTGCCGAAGTGGGAGCCATGATTGTTGGAGACAACGTTGGGGATGCAGGCGAAATCAAAGAAAGTGACAACATTATAAAGAAAGAATTTACTCAAAAAGAAACAGTATGTAATTATGTATATTAAATATCTATTGAAAAAATGTGTATATATAAATATAAATATAAGAACTTTTTTCCACTTGTCATTGGATACAGAGATAATACAGTAATAATAATATTAATAATAATAATAATTTTTTATTGGGCCTCATTCTAATACGATAATTGGCATGATGTGCCTGTAATCAGCACTATCAATTTGTTACTACTGTAAATCATTCACCTGTGACCACATACCAATCTACACCTTTTGGTTAAGAAATTCAAACATAGATTAAGTGTCTTGCCTACACAAGAACACAAGCAATTGGCCAACCTCAGTCTTGAAATCTGACTTTCTTGATTGAAGGCCCAAAATCTTACCACATCTGCACCAAAAATTGTTAGAAATTATTGAATATAAAAGTATGTCTTGTCTACCACACTTTCTACAAATAATCTCTAGGGGCAGCCAATGAAGAGTTTTGTTTTCTATTTTATTTGACCAAAACAACAAATTAATATTTACATATAAATTAAAGATTGGTAGCAGCAGTAAATAAAACACCACTATCTTTTAAGTTAACCTAGTTAATAAATATATGTTGCTTTTTCCCTCAGGAGACAAATGTAAGTGGAAGAAACTCAGCCATTGAAAAAGCTGGTACAACAACTTTTCACGATGCGAGTAATCCAGCATGTCTTTCACGAGCCACAACAATCCATGACCTAAGTCCAAGTCTTTGGCACAGTTTAGATGTTTGGAGATGTACAGTTCACCTCAGTGATGGCTTTCAAGAGGCTGTCAAAGCATTGACACTGTGTGGGACAGGCTTAGCTTCTGAAAATTGGTATGTGTGCTGTACATGCTATTACTGTAGTTATATCATGGAGGTATTATTGAGAAGGAGACCACTCGGCAAAGCCATGCGCACGCAGTGCTATGCAAATGAACCAAGATCAAAGTTGCCGCAGCGCGTAAAGTATGTTTGCGCGATGCCTTTGAAGTCCCATGTGTTCCCCGCCATCAAATTTTCAGCAGGCATAGTTGACCAAAAAATTGAACATGACGAAATGGAGAGCACCTTATTTTCTCAATGCGCACTACATACTGTCAATCACTATGGCTGGCAATCTTTTCTATTTTGAAGCTGATACATTTATCTCTCATAAAATATCAAACATAATAATATTTTCCTCCAAGAAAAGTTTTGAATTTAATGGAACATTTACATGACCTATAAAAGTATGGTATATTTCAACTTCAGTTTTCATAAATTGGCCAAAATTCGCCAATTCTAATTTTAACAGATATTAATTAATAAATGATTAAGGATTATAATAAACTAAGTCATTTTAGGGTTAACGAGGGTTAACTATTCGAAAAATCAATCCAAAAT